CAGTCAGCTACTGTTGTGTCAGCTGTTGTCATTTTTTTATTTGACAACCTAAAGGAAAAGAGGTCAGTGTCCTGACTAAATAGACAGGTAGTGCATGTTTTTAAATTCTTGCAGCACATACTGTATCATGGCACACTGGTTGAAAATTGCTGTTCTACACATACCCCAGAAACCAAAATAGATAATGTTACATGGGAAGAAACAAACTTACATCAGAGAAGACTAAGAATGTTGATAAAAGACATAAGGCAGTTGAAAATAATTATATGTTAAAAAGAAAACACAGCCCTGGCCGGTTTGGCTCAGCGGTTAGAGCGTCCGCCTGCAGTCAAGAGAGACCCGGGTTCAGTTCCCGATAAGGGCATGTACCTCGGTTGTAGTTTGTCCCCGGCCCTGGTTGGGCTGTGCAGGTGGCAACCACTTGATGTGTCCCTTTCACATCGATGTTTCGCTCTCTCTCTCTCTTCCTCTCTCTCCCTCCCACTCGATCTGAACAAAAAATGAAAAAAATGTCCTCGGGTAAGGATAAAAAAAAAATACACACACACATATATTAGAAAGTGAGTTTTGGAGAAAAATTTTAAGCATAAAACTAACCCATAATAATTGATATGTTTCACTACATAAATTTTTAAAATAATATACCAACTTATTAGACAAGTGAAAAACCAAAGAAAAAACATTTGCAACATATACAGACAGCAGCATGTCTTTATAAAGTATCAATCAGTTGCCCTGGCCGGTTTGGCTCAGCAGTTAGAGCATCAGCCTGGGGACCAGAGAGTCCCAGGATCAATTACCGCTAAGGGCATGTACTTTGGTTGCAGTTTGTCCCCGGCCCTGGTTGGGGTTGTGTGGGTGGCAACCACTCAATGTGTCTGTCTCACATCAATGTTTCTCTCTTTCTCTCTCTTCCTCTCTCTCTCCCTCACGCTCTATCTGAAGATAAATGCAAAAATGTCCTCGGGTGAGGATTAAAAAAAAAAAAGAATCAATCAAGAAATTTCCCAGCAGAAAAATCGGCAAATGATACAAACAATTCACTCTCATACATACAGGAAATACAAATAGACAACAAACAAGAAAATCTTTTAACCTCTCCTGCAAACAAACCAAAAAAATGCAAAAGCAAACTAAACAGAACTGGCCCAGCCAGTGTGGCTCAGTGGCTGAGTATCAGCTCATGCACCAAGAGGTTGCCGGTTCCATTCCCAGCCAGGGCACATGCCCAGGTTGCAGGCTTGATCCCCAGCAAGGGGGTTGTGCAGAAGGCAGCTAATCAATGTTGATGTTTCTCTCTCATCAATGTTTCTATCTCCATCTCCCTCCTTTCCTCTCTCTCTAAAATCAATAAAAACATATTTTTAAAAATAACTGAACAAAATTGGTATAGTGTAGAGAGACCAGCATTTTTCACACTGGTGGGAAAGTAGTAGTAGACATGTATACTGATAAGACCATTCTAGAGGGCAACAGAGACCTATATGTAATAATATGGAAAGATACCCACTGTTAAGTGAAAACAAATTAAGTTGCAAACTAGTATCCACAGTACAATCCCATTTTTGTTCAAAATAAAACAATGTGCTGGACCATGTGTCAGCAAACTATAGCTGGCTGGCTACCTGTCTTTGTAAATAAAGTTTTATTAGAACACAGCCATGCTTATTTAATGCACTGGAGACAATATAACCCACAAAGCTGAAAATATTTACTATTTAGTCCTTTAAGTAAAAGTATGCTACCCCTCCATGCTTTACTTTTACTTATCTATGTCATATATTTCTGTAATATTTGAATGCTTATAATAAACTATAGTTTCATAATGAGAAATAAATTTTAAAAAACATTTTAAGGAATTGGTTAAATACCATGTGGCCATTAAATAATGCAGGTATATATTAACTGAGATAGAAACATCTCTACCATATATTAAATTTTAAAACACAGTTTATAGAATACCAGGTGTAGATGGGTTTCACTTTTGCTTTTAAAACTGAGTTGTTATACACAGCTGGGCAGCATAGCACAGACAGCTACCATTTAAAATATCACAGTTAGCCCTGGCCGCTTTGGCTCAGCGGTTAGAGCGTCAGCCTGCGGTCCAGAGAGACCCGGGTTCGGTTCCCACTAAGGGCATGTACTTCGGTTGCAGTTTGTCCCTGGCCCTGGTCAGGATCGTTCTGGAGGCAATCAGTCAATGTGTCTCTCTCACATGGATGTTTCTCTCTCTCTCTTCCTTCCTTCCTTTCTCTCTAAAAAATCAATGAAAACATATTTTTAAAAATTAAAACTATGAGAGACAAAATTAGAAACTCAATAAAGAGCTGAAAATAAAGTTGAGGAAATATCTCATAAAATAAAGCAAAAAGACAAGGAAACAACAAGAGTAAATAAAGGAAAATTACAGGACCAGTTCAGAAGATTCAAATGCTAAATAACAGGATGCCATAAAGAATGAAAACAATGAGAAGAAAGAAATCAAATAAATAATTTAGAAAAAAAAAAAAATCCCAGAATTGAAGGATATAATTTTTGGGATTTAAAGTACCCACTGAGGTCCCAGCACATGTATGAAAGAAATCCTTGCCTGGGCACAGCATTGAGAAATTTCAGAACAGTATGGGACAAAGATCTCACAAGCTTCCAAAACAGTAAGTCACATTAGATTCTCAAAAAGAGAATCGGAAGCTAAGAAGAAAAAAAAAAAGAACAAAGTCTTTAAAATTCAAGAGAAAACGACTTTCAAAGTAGGATTCTATACTCAAACTTTCAATTAAGCATGAGGGTATGAGGGGGTAGGGACAATTTTCAGATATGCAAAAACTTCAAAAGTGACCTCCTTTGTATCTTTCTGAGGAACCTACCAGAGGATCTGTTCCCCTAGAATTGGGAGTAACCAATAAAGAAAAGCCAGAGGATTCTAGGAAACAGAAGATCCAACATGAGAGAAATAAAGGGAATCTGAAGGATGATGATGGAATGAGATCCCAGAACAATTTACTGCTATAAGCCCAGAGAGGAAAAAGTCCAGATGAGGGCAGATCAAGAGACTTCTTCAAGATAAAAGCAAGTGACAAAATGCCTAATGTGTCTGAATATACTGGTAGGAGATTTAAACAGCTGTGGGAAGTTGGGGTAGAAAACTAGATTAAGAAACAAAAATCAATGCTTATTAGTTATAGAGGGGAAAATAAATAAAGTGGTACAAGAACGGAAAAGTAATCATAATGCAGTACATGGCTCATTAATGAATACCATTAACAGTCATAATAATACAAACACTGAACATTGTTCTAACCAGAATCATGATGGGAAAATGGCGAGAAGGACACATTGTATGAAAGCTGCCTGGGGTACGTGAGAGGCAACTATGGGTAAGAAAGCTGAATCTGTAGCTTGCATAGTAGGAAGATAGCGCCTATAATTAAGAAATCAAAAAGTAGCTCATAGAGTATGTTATTTAGAGGTTAGAGGTAATAACCAAAAAAATCAGATTAAATAACTTTAAATGGCAGGCTTTGAAAAATGGGAAACTAGGACTGTTGGGGGCTGGAAGAACTTTTTATTACAAGAATCACAATACATTTTGACTCTTTATTTATTTTTATTATTATTATTTTTTAATCCTCACCTGAGGACACGTTTTGCCTTCATAGAGCGAGAGGGAGAGAGGGAGGAAGAGAGAGAGAAACATCCATGTGAGAGAGACACATTGAGTGGTCACCACCCACACAACCCCAACTGGGGTTGGGGACAAACTGCAACCGAGATATGTGACCTTAGCAAGAACCAAACCCGGGTCTCTCCAGACCACGAGCCAACGCTTCAACAGCTGAGCCTAACTGGCCAGGGCCATTTTGACTCTTTAAATACATATATGTATAACTTTAAAAAAAAAAACATTGAAATAGAGAACACAAAGTATTCTATCTCCTCTCTCTCTCTCTTTTAAGTCTTAAAGGCAAGAGAGAACATGGCATGCATAAAGAACTTAAAACACAGCAGGAACCTGGGATGTGAAAGGGAGAATAGTAATAACAATACTGTAGATATAGGCAAATACTGCCTCGTAAGAATTAACAGATGTTAAATAACTGACGGTCTATAATGCGATAATCGGGAAAATGTAAATATAAACTAAGTATGATAATTGTATTGTGATTATGAAGAAAAAGATCATTTTAAAGATATAAATATGAAAATATCTAGCAGTGAAATGTCACAATCTCTGTAATTTAAATATTCTTCAAAAATTAGACAAAACAGCCCTGGCCAGTTTTGCTCAGTGGTTAGAATGTCAGCCCACAGACCAAAGGGCTGTGCGTTTGATTCCCAGTCAAGGGTACATGTCTGGGTTGCAGATTTGATCCCAACCTGGTTGGGGTCATACAGGAGGCAACCAATCTCTCTCTCTCACACACTGATGTTTCTCTCTCCTTCTCTCCCCCTCCCTCCCTTCTACTCTATCTAAAAATTAATGGGAAAATATCCTTGGGTGATGATTAGCAAAAAAAGAAAATAGAGAAAACAAGTATTTCAAAATGTTAATAATTGTTGTATCAAAGTGATGGATATATGAATATTTATCATATTATTTTTATTTTTCAGTACACTTGAATTTCTCATAATAAAAAATGAAGAAAAATATTACTTTGTAAAGATCTGTTCATGAAGTGAAGAGTTAGATTTCCATGACTATTTTTTTTTCTATTCCTAGGACTATCTTTAAATGGGGATAGGTTGACTCAGTGGTTGAGCGTGATCCACGCACCAAGAGGTCGCTGGTTCGATTCCCAGTCAGGGCACATGCCCAGGTTGTGGGCCCAATCCCCAGTGGGGGTGCATGCAGGAGGCAGCCAACTGATGTTCTCTCTTACTAATGTTTCCATCTCTCTCTCCCTTCCTCTCTCTCTAAAATCAATAAAGAAAAAAATAAATAAAATAAATAGGGATAGGTTGAGGAGGAGAAAACTAGAAATAGTCTACAGTTAACTTACCATATCCTGCCATCGAAGCGCCATTCTCGACATCCACTGTGTTCTTATTTTCCTCTGCTAGAGCTTTAACATATCTTTTGCTTAAATCTAGTATTTGTTCACGTAACTTGACACTGCTTTGATGTCTTGGTTGTTGAAAAGTATAGTGCAGTAACATCAATCCCCAAATGAGTCCAAATACAAGCAACAGTAAACTCAATTTCTGGGACATATTTTTTCTTGAGATTGTAAAAATCATTTCTCATGAAGCAAACAGACACAGCCAAAAAGTAGTAACTAAAGGCAAGCCACCAAATAGTTAAGACTTTGGAAAGGAAAAAAGAATAAATTTCCTCCTCCTCCTCTGTTAATATGGTATATTCTTCATCTTCAGCAAGGTTGCCTCCAACTCTCAATTAACTCTGTAAAACTGAGAAGAAAAAAGGCCATTAGTCATGACCTGTATCAGTAACAGAATAGACAATGACAGATTTAAGAAGAGATTCTATAAATAGTTTTGATTTGGAACTATATCATCATCTTTGCCAACTTTCTCCACCACCCAGCAAACTTTCAGGTCTTTTATCAGTTTCATTTATATAGTTCTTCAAAAATTTAAAATAGAAATAAATATCAATTCATTGAAAATATCTTTTTTTAAAAAGCCACCATAATGCCCTGGCCGGTTTGGCTCAGCGGTTGGGAGCATCGGCCTGCGGTCCAGAGAGACGTGGGTTCCTGCTAAGGGCACGTATCTTGGTTGTAGTTTGTCCCCGGCCCTGGTTGGGTTGTGCGGGTGGCAACCACTCGATGTGTCCCTTTCACATCGATGTCTCTCTCTCTCTCTCCCGTCCACTCCATCTGAACAAAAAAAATGGAAAAAATGCCCTTGGGTGAGGATTAAAAAAAAAAAAAAAAAAAAAGCCACCATAATCACAAAATTATTTAAATGACTTCTAGTCATTTGTAGCTAAAATTGTGAACATATGATTTATAGAAGATCTCAGTCTATTCAAATACAGGTCACCAACCTAAATGTCTAAGAGCTATTCCTCCTCCTCCTAGATGCCAAAATTGAAGTTAGAAATGAGGAAAAGTGAAACACTGGAAAATCAAAATGTTTGTCTAACTAAAAAAAACCTGTAAGTGTGCCAGTATTTAAAAATGTCACTAGAAAATATTAATACTAATTAATGGCATTAATACTCATACTAATGGCAATGAGATAATATTAAGCATCCAACCTAAGATTAAAAATAAACTGTGTTTCAGCCCCAGGCCCATGATAGCAAAATGATCCTATAGACCACACCCTCACAAAACCAGACAGAACAATGCCATGGCTGACAACAGGACCTGATACAAAGATCAACTATCCCTACCTTGGCGCCAACCAATCAGTACAGCCCATGACCCCAACTCCTTTAGACACCATGATTAATGATTTCCCCCTATATAGCCATGCCCTGGAAGCCGTCAGGGAGCTAGATCTTTTACCAGTAGCTAACCTGTGACTCCAGGTTTGGCATCATTTCCTCAACTAATAAACTTCTACTTTCTTTGCTGTGAATTCCTATTTGCACGTGATTGGACTTTGATGTGCAAAGGTGAATGGGCTCCTTTTGTCTGCTAATAATTTCACCTGTCTGAACTTTGGCTAGAGCTACAAATTCACAAGTTCAGAATCTTTATCTCCACTCAGGGTCTTTCCTTTCCTTTAAAAAGAACCCTTAAACCTAGCCCTATTAGATCATAGGTTTTACAACTCCACAAAAGTGACAAATTCCAAAACTGTAATGGCATTAGACAGAACTGGAGGTTCGTGGAGGGGTAAGGAATGGGTGAGTGGATTGAAAAAGTCAAACAGAGGGAGCCTAATCCATAAAAGATAAAGTCCTTCTAAGTTCAATAAAAGCTTAAGAACGAAAAATTGCTCACCAGCACAAACTTTGCTTAAATAGTGAGTTGCAGAACCAACACCAGACACAGATTAAAAACAGACCAGTAGTGAACAAGGAAGAAACATAGCTGAGGAGGATATGCCCCAAACTAATAAATCCCAGGTTACAAGCAGACCTAGTTTAAACCCAGTATTTCTCAGTGTGAAGGTCCCAAAGATCTAAGCTGCAAACATTACTGCTCTATATCGACTTGACTATACCATCAGATTCAGAAAGAGGCCTTCATGAAAGGTCTTGATAGCCTTGACTCTATATAAAATGTGTCCACTCACCACTGCCCTCAACAAAATTAAAGCAACCCATTTCAGAGAAAAGTCAGAAACATTTATAGGCACTACTACAGCAAAAAAAATTTACATACTTTGTAACTTGCTTCTGTTTGTATATGTTTTTCTATAGTGATAAGAAGTAAAACATTTAATATGAAAAGGGTTTGTCTTTGGGAATAGCAAGGACATGAGAAGTTAGAAGTATCCCACTCTATACTAGAGAACTACAAAAGGACACCAAAGAATAAAGTGGGTGTGGGAGCTACCAGGAAGAAAGGACACCCCGGAGTCTTCTCCAAATTAAAAAGTCTGCCAGGAGCCAGTTTATGCCTGACAAAGAGCTGAGCAAGACAAAGGCCCACAAGGATTCTCTGAAGCAACCCAAGAAGGCCTGAAAACTGTTCTAACTAAGGGTTCATTTAAACAAGCAATTCCAAGCAAGCCCAGCAGAGTTGACCAAGATTCCTACAAGGATACAATTCAGCCTTTGGTCTCATTCAAGGAATGCTTCACATTAAAATTACCTAGAGAGTTTTTTTTTAATCCCAATGTCAGGTCACACACCATATTAATTAAATTAGAATGGCTGGGGGTGGGAGTCAGGTATCAGTATTTTTTAAAGAGCCCTAGGTTATTCCAATGTGCAGCAAGGTTTGGGAACCACTGTCCAAATCTCAAACTTCTTAATGAAGCAGCAATGATAGCTACAGGTAGGGCCATTAAAGTCAAAGTTACAAATCAGTTCACCAGGTGTGACACAGGATTCCTACTGGACTACCTACATGATCTTGAAGGGGAAGGAATAAAGGGAAGAGAAAACAGGTGACCTTTGCTAAAACCATTACTGGAGTCAGAGGGGATAGCTCTCCCCTTCTCAGCTCTTGCCAGTCTTGTGAGAAGGAATTCAGATCAGTGACAGACAGCAGTGTTGAAGCAAAGCAAGCAACACTTGGCATAAAGCACAAGCAGACAACTCAGCTAGTCTGAGTGCATCACCCAATGAGGTTCAAGGGTTTTATATTTTTCCCACTATAGGTTTCAAACTTCCCCTGCCAGATATCTTGGGTAGCACACTAGGTTTCAAAATCCACTTCTACATTGTTGTGGCTTATTTGGGAATGTTTGTATAAACATTTGGTCATCTTGTCTGGCAAGTCCTAAGACAGCTGACTTATTTGATAAACTTCCCCTTCCTCCCTCTTCCCCCCTTTCCTGCCTAACATCCCCCAAGTGACACTATCCCAATGCTTTGGGGGTTTTGTTGTTTGTCCCCCGGCCTACATCTGTCCTTAGGTTTAGCTGGCACAAATAGCATTAATTGGGTCTTTGTTCTCTCTTTTCCCAGGCCACGGTGATTTAAGCTATGTATTCTCTGGATAGGGAGATGTATAAACCATTTGCTCTCAAGCGTCCTTGGTTGAGGAAGATAAGGTCTTGCAAATCACAAGCTGGCTGCAAGCTGCCCAAACTGTTTGGCCTTGTTTAATTCCCTTGTCTCAGCTTCTCCACTCCACTTGCCCAGGAATTTTCCTAGCTTCTTACTATCCTGCCACAGAACCCAAGTCATTCCTGCCAGGGTGGGCTAGGCCCTAAATTTACTAGGCAGGGGTAGAGATGGAGTGAAGAGAAAGCAGTGTCCACTGTACCACTTCAGTCCCTAGGATCAATATGAATACACAGTCCTATTCTATGAGAGGTAGTTCTGTGATATCATATAGGGAAAAACAGCAGATAAGAAGCTGTAAATTCTTTAGCAACTAAAGGTAATTTACGTTACATTACTTTTAAAGAGAAATAATTCTTAGATTCAATCTTCAGAAAAGAAAGGGTTCAATGTCTTATTTCTGTACAATGTTCAAAGTTGCAAATGACAGAGGAACTGGCACTTTGAACCTCCTGATTTTTCTTTATGTTTCAAGTACTGATCCAGCTCCTAGAAGGCCACATAGGTCAGGATGAAGACAATAAGTAGAAACCTTTAGTAAAATGTCTATAATGTAGCTGGGGACTTATGGCTACCATCTAGCATAGAATTTATTAGAGTCCTTCTTATACCAAAACAGTCCGCAACCTAAAAATGTTTTAATCCCCTTCCAGGCCACTACAGTCATTGTCTACTAGTCACTTAAAAAATAAAACTTCAGCCCTGGCCGGTTTGGCTCAGCGGTTAGAGCGTCGGCCTGCGGTCCGGAGAGACCCGGGTTCGGTTCCCGCTAAGGGCATGTACCTCGGTTGCAGTTTGTTCCCGGCCCTGGTTGGTCGCGCGGGTGGCAGCCACTCGATGTGTCCCTTTCACATCGATGTTTCTCTCTCTCTCTCGTCCTCTCTCTCCCTCCCACTCTATCTGAACAAAAAATGGAAACATATCCTCGGGTGAGGATAAAAAAAATAAAAATAAAACTTCAAATCTGTTGCAAATAACACACACACACACGCACACACACACACAAGTGTTTACATTGATTTTAGGGAAAGAGGGAGAGAGAGAAAAATAGATGAGAGAGAAACATCAATTGGCTGTCTCCTGCATGCTCCCTACTGGGATCGAGCTGCAACCTGGGCATGTGTCCTGACCAGGAATCAAACCAGCAACCTCTTGGTGCATGGGACGACACTCAACCAACTGAGCCACAATGGCTGGGCACAACTGGAGAGATTTTAAAGGCAAAAATTAAATCATAACTTAATTTATGATTTAAATTAAATCATAATTTAATTTATGATTTAAATTATAAAAATTTATAAAAATTATGAGTTAATTTTTATTGTTAAACCTTCATCATTATTAAGATAGATTCCAAAATATTTTAGGATTCCCAGGGGAAAGTTCTCACCCAACAGCAGAAATTACAAAAGGAATTACAGTCCATATGGCCCAAAGATACAAGAATTACGTAGAAGAGACACACTTAAAATGAAGTATCTGTAGAGTACTAGACCTGAAGAAGGGTAACAAGAGCATGGTCCAAGTACCATTATCTCCACAAGGATTCCTGCAGCTGCTTCTTAAGTGGTTTCCCAGATCTCTGCAACCCCACTTCAAGCCATTGTCCTCCCTGCAGCTAAAATGTTTCAAAAACAAAAGTCATGATTCGAATAGTCACAATCTGAACATTTCTCCAAAGGAAACATGCAAATGACCAAAAAGCAGATGAAAATATGTTCAAATCACTAACCATTAGTGATTAGTGATTAGTGAA